GCTGACCTTCTTTTACCTGGCTCCAGTGAACATCCCAATCCCCACCAAAATAGATGGTGCACCTACCCCAAAATGGGATCCCATTGGTTTCGACCCACAGCCAAACGGCTTGCAGGTCGATCGCCTTCCCCTCGAGTCGTTGAGGCCTCGGGCACCACCAGCCCGAAGCGCCAGAGCAGGTCGTCCAGCGCCGCCGTGCCAGAGCCGAAGCCGCTGCCGTCCACGCGGCACCCGTCGCAGACCAGCCAGTTCAGCGCGGCGATCTGGAGATGCGCCGCTGCCTCCAACTCTCGGCCGAAGTCAAACAACTAGACCACGGTTGGCCCGAAAGCATAACTTCGCAAGCGAGGTCGGCCCAACGCTGCAGGATGCGTTCTTTTTCCCTCCACGAAGCGTTCGTGAAGCAAGCGCGAGACAGCGCCAGGCAAGGTGCTCTGCGCAAACTGGTCGGTGCAAGTTGGTCTGTGCAAGTTGCTCTACGCAAGTTGCACCGTGCAAGTTGGTCCCTGCAAGTGGCTCCCTGCAAGTTGCTCTGTGCAAATTGCTCCGTGCAAGTTGCTCCCTGCAAGTTGCTCTGTGCAAGCTGCTCTGTGCAAGTTGCTCTGTGCAAGTTGTTCTGCGTAAGTTGCTCTGCGCAAGTTGCTCTAGGCAAGGCGCTCTGCGCAAACTGGTCGGGGCAAGTTGGTCTGCGCAAGTCAACTTGCTCTGCGCAAGTTCCTCTGCGCAAGTTGCTTTAAAATGCAAGTTGCATCTTGCGACGCCCGCCCGCGAACCAGGCAGGAATCGAACCTGCGACCCGCCGGTCCCGCGAACCACGAGACAAATCCCGAGGACCAGTTCGAACAACAAAAGTTGCAAAAAACCTGGGGTTTTTGCACCTCGACTACGCCGAGGGTTGCGCGAGCACCGCAGAAATCGCAAAAAAACCTCGAGTTTTTGCACCTCGACCACGCCGATCCCCGCAGAGGGTCGCGCGGGAACTTTAGAAATCGCAAAAAACCTCGAGTTTTTGCACCTCGACCACGCCGATCCCCGCAGAGGGTCGCGCGAGCGCCGCAGAAATCGCAAAAAAAACTCGAGTTTTTGCACCTCGACCACGCCGATCTCCGCAGAGGGTCGCGCGAGCATGTTTAAAAGCGCAAAAAACACTCGAGTTTTTGCACATCGACCACGCCGATCCCCGCAGAGGGTCGATTTTCGTGTAATGTCGTCGGCGCTACCCCGCCGCCCTTAGAAGAGATTTTAACTCCTCGCAAGTCAATTGCACTTGACTCCTTGCACTTGCAACTTGCACTTGACTCCAGGCACTTGCAACTTGCACTTGACTCCTTGCACTTGCAACTTGCACTTGGCTCCTTGCACTTGGCTCCTTGCACTTGGCTCCTTGCACTTGGCTCCTTGCACTTGCAACTTGCACTTAACTCCGTGCACTTGCAACTTGCACTTGACTCCATGCACTTGGCTCCTTGCAACTTGCAGTGACTCTAATGACTCCTTGCAATGACTCCTTGCAATGACTCCTTGCCATGACTCCTTGCAATGACTCCTTGCAATGACTCCTTGCAATGACTCCTTGCAATGACTCCTTGCAATGACTCCGTGCAATGACTCCTTGCAATGACTCCTTGCAATGACTCCTTGCAATGACTCCTTGCATTGACTTTCATGATGATGATTCCTTGCAATGACACCTTGTAACGACTCTCATGAGAACAACTCAAGTGAACCCAGCGGAAGAACCCTTCGCCATGCTTTCGGGAAAAAATAAAAAAGTCAGAAAAGGCCATAGCATGTCACAGACTGTGACAGAATGTTGCACAATGCCACAGCATGTCACAGAATGCCACAGCATGCCACGGCATGTAACAGACTGTCACAGAATGCCACAAAAGTCACAGAATGTCAGAATGTCAGCATCTCACAGAATGTCACAGAATGCCAAGGCCCACAATGACCACAGTGGCAGGTAGCGTGATATTCCGGGCTTGCCTCTACCAGATCCCGCTTGGCAAAGAGCAGGGAGTAAGCACAGCCCACGTGGAACTGCACAGCGTCCGCCAGACCTTGACCAATCAGGAGCTGGAATGCATGAAGCAAGGGGATTGTCAAAGTCAGCATACGTGACATTTCTGGGAGCCCCAGAGTGTTTTGTCAAGTGGGTATCAGCCTTTTGTGTTTCAAGCACACCAACCTCGCTCACTTACATCAACATGCAATGGGATTGTATGGAGCCGGCAGCGGCATTACAAGCATTAGCAGCATCGCCAGCATCCAAAGGCTTGCCGGCCTGTTGCATTTGCGGGGTTTGATGGAGAACGTTTCGTAGAGAATCGCCGTCCGAAGCAAGGGCTTCCCTGGTCACAGTCAAGAGGCACCGTACGAGGTTGCGCCACGTTGCAATGAAGCGCTTATTTCAGTCTGGTGTTGCATGGAGTCCAAATGCACGAGAGCGGAGACGGCTGACGCAAGACGATTGCAGAATCCAATTCGGGCACGCATGGCCTGCAACGCGAAGGCCGTTGTCAGTGCAAACATGTGGGCGTGGTGCTTGCAGTGCTTGGGTTGGCCGCGTTTCGGACGTGGCCACGTTTCACCTGGGACATCTATTGAAAGCTAGACTACGTGGCAAGCCCCCAAAGAAGAAAAGTGCAAGAATGAAAAGAGGCATTATGAGCCAAATGCCGAAAAGCGGTGCAATCTTGTTTCGCCTGGAATTCCCGTAAATACTTACCGGAAACGGATGAAAAGAGGTCTTTTGCACAGAGGCTCAAGCACTTATGATGCAAGATGCTGCAATACTACAAATGGGAGAGATGGCGTGGCGAAGAAAACGGCTGCGGCCCCGATTGGGGTCTTCGTGTTGAGTGGCAGTGGCTCCACGCCAAGTGCTGCGCTGCGAGCTCCTCCGGCAGCCCACTCAGGCGGCACACGTGCGGGGGCACCAGGTCAGGCACGCCGCCTCAGACGCTCAGCCGCTGGGGTCCACCGTCATCTGTTAGCATTGAGCGTCTGATGAGCAAAGGAAAGAGCTGCAAACATGATCCGAATGCCTCTGACAATCAAACAAGGGCTGGTGAACCCGTTCGCAGCAAAGGACGTGTTTCAGGGCCACATTGATGCGCGAAGAAGAGGCAAAGCGAGTGCGGATCTCATAAGACTTTGCCTGTGAAGGCAGCACTTGGCGCTTCAGTCTGGCAAACTTCATGTTCGGAAGGCAAAGCTCCAACGGCAAACAAACGCCAAACCCCACACCAGCGTCGCTTCTGCGTCCCCACAACACACTCCCATGCACCATGACAAACAGCACACAGCTGCATGCAGCTTCACGAACGCACTCGTGGCCTTCTTCTCTGAGCGCGGGCAACTCGCCCTTGAGGAAACGGAGGTTCTGCAGGAGTTCGTGGTTGCAGTCCGCCAAGGCTGACGCCTGAGGCCCCGAAATCTCCCGACGACTCCGCTGAGACTTGAGCGGCGCGGAAAAATTCGCCGCGCTGCTTGCTGTGGCGTGCAGCGCCAACCACCAAGTTGCAAAAAGCGCTTCTGATCTGCTGCGCGCTGGTCTGCCGGTCCGGACCACTTGTTACGCGCATCTGCCCCAAACTTGCCATTTCTGACATCCCGCGCCTTCCACCAGCCGCTCGCGCAGAAGGAGTGGGGCGAAGCCTTGTGCGACTTCTTGAAGTGCCGGCCCTTGACCCGCAGCTCCTTTCAGGACAACGCTCTTTCTCCGCATCTCGGGTCGGACATCGCGAATCGCTTGGGAACCCCAACGGCCCGGACTTCCGTCGCCGCCTGGAGCAGCTCCTTCTCATCTTGCCACACCTCAAACAGGGCTCTGTGAACATGTGAGCGTCAGTATCCAAAAAACACGCACGTTTGGCTGCTTGGCCTGAAAGGCTGGTTCCTTGGAAGACCCGAGCTTCGAACAACTTGGTTCTACTGGTCGAAATATCTGTTCGGTAAGTTTACATATGTGCCGTGATCAAACACTCCACATGTGGGTCATGGTCCTACTCCTCTCTAGTTGGCACCCTTACCATGGGTGTCCAAATTGCCTATTCAGGGCTCCGTGACTCTTGCTATCCGGACTGGTTCCTGAAGGAGACAGTGGACCCAAGACAAAAACAACTCAAACCGGAAAATAAAAAACATGTTTCTCGTTTTCCCTTCCTGGGGCAGCAAGACCCGGTCGTCCGGTTTTCCCATGCCGCTTCGGCGGCTTCACCTTTTCTTCGGGAGCTCGGGGCCCGGCTGTCTGGAGGAAGTGGTCCCGTCGAAGCGGGGCTTTGGCTAAGTCGGGCCGCAGAAACTGCACCTGGCCGAGCCGCCGGCTGTTGCGGCCAAGCAATTGGATCCCCTGGTTGACGTATTCAAACGAAACCAGCCGTTGGAGGGGCTCCCAGTCTTGAAATGGGAAGAAAAACTCAAAGCATGGCCATGCCACTCGAAATCAGCCAAAAGAGCGGGCAACGGTCTGTGCGCCGCTCCCCAGCAAATAACAGCAAGAGGAGCTCGATGAAAATCTCATGAAACACCAAACACGCTCTGACGCTCTGGGCTGCCATAGCCTGCTGCCATGATGCTAGCTGTCAGTTTACCATCAGCAAGAAATGGTTCAACAATGTGCCATCTTGTCCAATGGAATGCATCCATCGGGAAGCTCTCTGGAAGACAACGCTCCCACACCTGCTTGATCCAACACAACTAAACCTTTTGTGTTTGCAAGAGAACCGCATCTCTCCCCTGCTATGAATGAAGCTGCGGAAACTCCAACTTCACCAACTCCATCATACTCCAAGTCCCCGATCCTCTGCCTCTCCGCCTAATTATCCACCTATCCACCCAGAAACACTACCACGTCAAAATGTCAATCACTGCAACCATTCAACTTGTGTAAAATGGGACGGGCAGTGTCGAATCCTCTGTCCAAATGAGAAAATATATAGATTCCGCACAGTGAACTGCACCGAGCAGTTTCGAAATCCCACACGCGGGCGCGCCGTTCGAGCCGCAATCCATGGCTCAGGATGGCACTCAAACCTGCTGGAGAACAAGCTTTTGGCGCCTTCACAGGGACCATGGACCAGAGGTAGAGGTTTGCCACTCGAAGGGCGCGCATGGCTCCTGCCGGGATCCGCTCTCATAGCAACGCTTGTGCGCCCTTGCTCTCGATGGCTTCACCTCTGCCATTGCCTTTCTCTTGGAAAGAAGAGTCGCCAAAACACTAGGGCCCTTCCAAGCAAGCGAGAGGCGCCACGAGGCAACTGCATTCTGCAAAAAGGTGAGAAGGTGCGAATGACCTACGAAGGCATGTTGCAAGCAGGGACACCTCCTGCCTTCTTCAACCCCTCTCCTGTCGAAACATTGGGATGCACATATTCATCATCCTCTGATTCAACGATAGGGAAGGTCTCATCTCTCAGCACGTAGCGCAGGTTTGTCAGTTCTCAGAAAACAGGTACACGGCAGGAAACACATGTGCGTCCGTCAAAGTTGCGATGTTCAAGTGGTTGAAACTTGTTAGCAAACATCTGCACGACAACTTTCACTTGCCAGCCAGGAAACGCCGCTTGAAAAAATCCAGCGTTTTTGTAATGTGGGCATCATCCAGCGGCTTGTACTTGTTCAAGTACAATTCCGCTCGCCGAAAGAAGGGTGCACGAGCTTCCCGTAGCAGCCTGGAAGGAGCAGTGTCCAGAACGCTGAAATGCATCAACATTCTACTTTGCGGCGGCATAATGGAATGCAAAGACACTGCAGCTAACAAAGGCCATAGAAGTACATCTTACCCCCGCAGGACCCTGCAAATGTTCCCTGCAAGGAGCACCAAAACCTGATATTCAAATCAAGTTTCGTAAGAATGGGCAGGAGGCCAAGGCCACAATCAAAAAACACAGCCTCAGCACTGGCCCCATGACAAGAAGCGGGTTCGCAAAGGTCTGCAAATTGAAGCAGCAAGCAAATGAAAGTGTAAATTGAGCGGCTTCTAGAATGGCCATCACACAAGCCCATGCAATGAGCAATTCATGTCAATGTGACTGTGATCCAATGATATCCAAGGCACAAGTTGCTCTGGGCTTGTGAGCGTATGCGGTTGCGTTCACGCGTTCGTGTGCATGTGCATGCGCGGGCGCGGGTGCGGCTGCAGGTGCGGGTGCGGGCTTTTGCATGTGCATGTGAATCAGCGTGTGCGTTTGTGTGCATGTGTGCATGTGTGGGTGTATGGGTGCGTGCTCACGCGGGCACCAACGCGTGTGCGCGTGCGTGTGTTTGTGCGTGCGCACGCGGTTGTGCATGTGCGTGTGCGTATGCGTATGCGTGTGCGTGTGCATGTGCGTGTGTGCGTGTGCGCGCGTCTGCGTGTACGTGCTGTGTAAGTGCGCGTGCGCGTGCGCGTAAACGTGCGCGTGCGCATGCGCGTGCGCGTGTGCATGCGCATGGGCATGTGCGTGTGCGTGTGCGTGTGCGTTTACGTGTGCATGTGGGTGGGTGTGGGTGTGGGTGTCTGTGTGTTTTTGTGTGTGTATGTGCGTGTGCGCTGTCCGTGTGCGTATCCGCGTGCACATGCATGTGTGTGTGGGTGTGGGTGTGGGTGTGAGTGTGTGCGTCTGCGTGCATGCATGCGTGTGTGTGTGTGTGTGTGCGCGTGTGTTGCTGTTTGTTTGTTGTTTGCTTGTTTGTTTGCTTGTTTGTTTGTTGGTTGATTGGTTGGTTGGTTGGTTGGTTAGTTGGTGGGTTGGTTGGTGGGTTGGTTGGTGGGTTGGTTGGTGGCTTGGTTGCTGTGTTTGCTTTTTTTTGATTGGTTGTTTGTTTGGTTGCTCGTTTGCTTGTATGTCTCTCTGTTTGTCTGTCTGTCTGCGTCCTGCCTGCCGGCCTGCCTGCCTGCCTGTCTGTCTGTCTGTCTGTCTGTTTGTTTGTTTGTTTGTTTGTTTGTTTGTTTGTTTGTGTGCGCTTTTGTGAAATGTGTGCTTGTGCGGTGTGCTTGCGTGTGTGAGTGTGTGTGTGTGTGTGTTTGTTTTCGTCTCTGTGTGTGTTTGTTTGGCTGTTTGTTTGGATTTTTGTTTCGTTGTTTGTCTGTCTGTCTTTTGTTTGCTGGCATGTTTGTTTGTGTGTGTGTGTGTCAGTGAATATATGTATATTATACGTATGTGTGTGTGTTTGTTGCTGTGTGTGTGTGTACTTGTGCGTGTGTGTTTGTGTGTATGAGCGTCTCTGTGTGTGTGTGTATGTGGGTATGTGTGTACGTTTGTGTGGGTGTGTGTTTGCATGGTTGTGTGCTTGGGTGATTGCCTGTTTGTGTGTTTGTGTGTGTGTGTGTGCGTGTGCGTGCTTGCGTGGGTGTGTGCATGCCTCTGTGCGTGGGTGGGTGCGCTGCATGTGTGAACATGTGCGTGGGTGCATGTGTATGCGTATGTGCGTGTGTAGGTGTGTGGGTGTGTGGGTGTGTGGGTGTGTCTGACTCTTTGCGCCCGTCTCTATTCCTCTTTGTGTGAGCGCGTATTTGTGGCATCTCTGTCCGTGTTTTGCAACTGCTTGCTGCTTGTTTTTCACAAATCTTTCTGCGACTGCATGTATGGTCAATCAGACCGAAAGCCGCCCTCTGCGCCTCTCTTCCTCTGGAAGCTCCGGGTGTGAGAAGAAGGGCGGCTCTTCCATCCTCCGCAACTCATTCACAAGGAAAGAGCTTGCTGGTCAGGAAGAGTTTCTGGGTTTGCTCATAAACTACCGCACTGGCCAGCAAAGTCGTTCCATCATGAGGTTCGGGCAAACAATACATGCTTGGGTATTGGACTGACCTTCAGCCAACGCACCATGGATGAACGACGCGTCTCAACGGATTAAGCTGTCAAGTGAGACTATGCCAGAATACAGGTCGTCCAAGAACTGGAACAACCAAGGGGCTGACGTTCAATCTTACAGCTGTAGGTTGTGCGTGCCGTCCCGCTATCCTGCGGTAAAAACTCAAACGACAATATCACTTTTGTGCAGTCAGGGTTGTCTCAACACTTGCTTTCGGGTTGACGGAGAGTTGATAGGTCCAGCTGGGATGCAGGGTTCGTTCGGATTGAGGGTTGGCTCCTGGTTTAGCCTCACGACAAACTTGCAGTGCCAAACAATTTCGATGTCCAGAGATTGTCCCATAGATTCTCCACAGAAACAACAAAGCACAAACCTGAACCCTCACTTCGGGTGCTACGAGCTGGTTCCAAACTGTTCTGCTGAACACACACACACACACACTCTTTACACTGGCCAGCAGACCCATGGCAGATATCTCGATTGAATGTCAAGGCAGCGTTTGTTTGGCAACCAGTGATCCCTCTCCATGGAATTGAGAGCGCTCGCCTGGTAAAGGACCCCATCCTCTCATGTAGGATCTGCTGAACAAAAGGGGGCACGTAGCATGGATACCGAAATCTGGACCAAGCGCAGAGGGGAACCAAAGAATCTGGCAAGTACGGATCCAAGCGTCCAATTGATCTGCATCCCAAAGTGAACGGTTGAAACTACAATGCAGATCCCTAAGTCTGTCCTCAACCCGTCAACTCGTTGACCCATCCAAAGCCGACGGCCCTGCACTCCTCGAGGTCCGGGGGGTGGCTAAGGATAGGCGCAAGAGCCAAAACGCCGCAGCCGTCACACATCCCTCCGCATCAGGGTCAAATTGGCGCCAACCTGTGGGTCTCCGTGAGAGGTAGGTGAAAAACAAACGGTGCCCAATATGTGCCTTCGATGGAAAATGGGCGGAATCCGTGGAAATGTGGGGGGGGGGGGGGGGAATGAATTGACTGGCATGGCAGTGACTCAGTGAACACTATATATACTGAGAGATGCCTGCAGATAGTTGCTCCATGAGACTTGCAAAAGTATGGTACACCTAGTATGAGATTCGATGACTGAAGCGAATGGCCGCGTAGCCGCACTCCCGACTGCGGCCTGATCAACGCAGGAAGAGCACCTGCAAGCCGGCAGAACTTGTTTTGCGTTGCATGTTGTGCGTGTGTGTGTGTGTGTGGGCGCGCGCGTTGCGGGTGTTTGGTGCTTGGTCTTATGTATGGTGTGGTCTGTGTTGTCCATTGTCTGGTCTCTGTTGTCTGCCGTCTCTTGTATGCCATCTCTTGTCTGCTGTCCGTTGTCCTGTGTGTTGTTTCTCCTCCCAAAAACAAACATCGTGACTTCCAGGTTCAACATTTGTTTCTGCAAGGGCAAGGCGGGTTTGGCCATGAACACATGCACGAGAGTGCAACATGCGCGCAAGGTGCTGGAGGGCAACTTGCCATATCATTAACAAGCTGAACTCATGCGAACTGTGAAAAAATGCCGACATGTCGGAATCCCTGTGCATTTTGCCGGTCAAATCGAGAGGACCCGTGCATGTGTGTCCTGACATGTACCAACTCAGGAGAATGTAAACTAAAAGCAGAACTGGTGTTTCGCTGATTTTGCTCTCCAGCATATGATTGGCTAGAAAATAAGCCCCTCAACGATGCGAATGATGCGGCTCCGGGTGCCGCGCTGAAGGAGCCAATTGCCCCCAGCTAATTGGCAGAAGGACAGCCCAATCGCCTTAGTTCTGTGGCCTATAGATGCAGTGACTTCATGGAAAGAAGCATTTAGTTGCATGAGAAAATGCTTTTTGTACCCAGTATACTTTGGATAGTTCAATGGCCTTTGTTGCAGCTCGGCATAGCAACTCATACTAAATTCCAGCCCTATTTGCACACATATGTAGTTACATATACCATTTGCATAGGTAGGCACAGTGTCCCGGTATGCATGTGTGTGTGTTATGGTCTCTCTCTCTCTCTCTCTGTGTCGCTCGGTGTCTTTCTCTGTGTTTCTGCATCTCTCTGTCCCTATGCATCTCTTTGCTTGTGTCTGTCTATTTGTAGGTAGTAGGAAGGTAGCAATGTTTGTACGAATGAACGTAGGTACGTTTGTACTTATGTACATATGACATGTACATGCGTACGTATGTAGTACGAATGTACGCACGTACTGTACCTAAAAACTCACCTGGATCAAAGTTTGCCCTCTTGGGTCTCCGCAACGAATGTTCATACCCTTTCCCAATCCTTCAAGTGTTCGAGTCCATTTTGACACATGCAAGCCTCTGTC